ATAACTCTTCATTTAAGGAAATGCGTTAAGTCAGATGGCAGGATTACCATCTTTTGTTTCCAATGCCAGAAACTAAGTGAGTCATGTGTCCTTGTCAGGATCATAACTGTGAGGTTAGTCTTCAAGCAGGATTACTGTAGGTAAAACATGCACAGATGTCAGACTTAAAATGGTTTTCTCAAGAATCAAGGACTGAGACACTGCAAAGTAAAAACAAGAAATCGCCAACTCTTCCTCTTTGCTAGGCCACTACCTAAGGCTATCAGAATGAAATCTGTTTTAAAATCCCAATAACTTTCCCTGTTGAAAAACACATTTTGATTTTTCTTCCCAGAAAGAAGTCTATGCAAATAAATGGAATCCCAAGAGACCAACTGGCATGGAACAACTTTCACCTGTACTACTACACTTCTACCCTCCAAAATGGCAACACTACTCAATAAAAACATGAGAAAAAGCCCATGGGTCTCCCATGTCAATTTGTAAATCTTGTCCAGGAATCAGTGAGGAGACAGCTAGTTACCTGGAACCAAAACCCTCCCAGAATCCATCATGACAGTTTAATAGCAAGAATAATTGAGTTTCAGCACCAGGGATGCTCTTCAGTGCTGTTTAATTTGCCAGTACAGATACAACCAATACGACAGAGTTAAGGGTGAAGCCCCCAGACTGAAAAAGCAGAAGCTTTGATTGAACTTTTCCAGTTTGATCAGGCCATCTACCATGTTTGCCTTCACAAACAACTCAGTTCTGATGTGTGTCTCATGCAGCCTCCAGTGCCAAACACAGCCAGACAGCCTGACACATGTGAAGAAAGAATCATAGTGCCAAGCTGGAGCCAGAAGTGTGACAGTTCCCTTCGCTCTGTCCTCTAAGAACAGCTCCACTTGACAGCTATCACCCTCACCTACCACCACCTCTCAAGAGAGCTGGTCTCACACAGAGAGAGTTGATATTTGTATTTTAAAGGCCGGATGTTAACTTCATGCATAGACACTGTGGGAAATAGTGCTAGCAGAAACAGTGAAAAATGAAAACATTATTACTAAAGAGCAAATGACACATTGGAAGTATTATTTATAGAATCAAGTAAAGATTACCCTAATAATCCTTTAAAGGTCTGAACCACATATCAACAAGTAACACACACATTGCCAAATGGTCAGGGGAATAAAAAACTTCAAGCATGGCTGCTAAGCAATTCCTTTATTTCTGCCCACGTGAAAAGGCAAGTCTAAAAATAAAGCTAAAAAACCCCCCAAATCTATACAACTTATTAGGCATGGAAAACATGAGTTGCACAGAAAAAACCAGAAGTGTTGGGATAGCATTTCAAAAGCAATGCCTTTCCTACAGTGAAGGAACTAAAAAATCCTTCCTTCATCATGGGTTGATTAGCTGAAATAGCATAGGTGTCCCTGTGTGCCTTCTACATTTTCTAAAGAAAGTTACAAAATTCAACATTAATATACTAAGGTGAAAGGGGCACATAAATCCAACTTAATTCTATTTAAAAAACCCCAATTCCTTCCTTCAGTTGCTTTACTGTTGCGTGATGGCTGATGTCCCAGTCTCAACAAAATCCAGCTCTGATTTTCAGTAAGACACATTTATATAACAATATTATATAAATGTCGTTTAGATGCTTAAGATAGACAGCTTAGGCATTTCTTTGCTATGGTTCACATGACTGACTATTTAGGTTCTGCACTAAAAAGAAAAAAAAAAAAAAGCAGCTTGCATGCCATTGTAAAAATCATTGCTTTACTGTACTGGAACACAAATCTCAAGAGACAGCTTCTAAGTCATGTTAGGAGACAAATATACAGATGAAAGTACAATGCAACTTTCAATTTTCTTGTTAGTTGAAAATAATTCTTCATGCAAGAACACACAATAAATTCATACATCATGGGGACATGCAGAACTCTCCCTTTAGGAATGAAGGATTCTACATCAACTCGAAAAAACACTACAGTTTTATGTTGCTTTAAAATGTGTCACACAAAATGACACGTTTCTCAACAGAAGTCACATCCTTCCAGTAACAGATATTAATTTATCAATAGCTAGAAAAATCAGAATTCAAGAAAACTTAAGGAAAGTATCTGCACTTGAGTAAAGCACTGTTACTACACAAGGATCGAACCTGAAAAAAAGAACAAATTCAAGACATGGAAGTGTCACCTATGACAAATTAATTAAAATGGGCTAGTAACCTCTGTTTGCTCTGGAACCTGAAGAAACTAAGCCTACACACACTACCAACCTCAAGTCCAGGAGCAGCTTTTTAGAGACCGGCAAATATTCTGTCATGTTATCCCCTTGAGAAAGCCAAACCCAAAGCTTCCTTTTCCCTCTCCTAAACAACCTTAGTGATTCCTGTACAAGTAGTATGATGTTATAAAGGTTCAGTAAAGAAGGAATGACATTAATGCTATTAAGACATAGATGGCAATAAATTATGGCTCTCCAGCTTTAAAAAGCAGCAGAACTCTGGCTGGAGTTATGATATCATTCTATCAGAAGTTTACAGAAGCTAGAAAATGGAAATAAAGATCTTCTGTTTCTCAAGACATAAGAACAAAGCAGCATCCAAAGAAATTGGGGTGAACATGTGAAATATAAGAGGAAATGCTTGTGCTCCCCAGCTGCTCAACTGCCACAGAATGCTGTGGCAGCCAAATTTATAAATAGTTTTCACAAAGTCATCAATAATTCTCCCACCACCACACTCAGCATGCTGCTGTTGTGGTTTAACCCGAGATAGCAACTAAGCATCACACAGTTGCTCGCTCGCTCACTCACTCAATCCCTCCCCCACAGTGAGTTGGGGCAGAGAATTGGAAGAGTAAAAGTGAGAAAACTCCTGGGTTGAGTGAGGTAAAGACAGTTTCATAGCTAAAGCAGAAGCCACACGCTCAAGCAAAGCAAAACAAGGAATTAATTAACTTCTTGCCGTCAGCAGGCAGGTGTTCAGCCATCTCTAGGACAGCAGGGCTCCCTCACACGTAACAGTTACTTGGCAAGACAAACACCATCACTCCAAATATCTCCCTCACTTCCATCTTTTTCCCTGGGCGTCACATGCGGAGCTGTCAAATGGCAGGCAATAACCTTTTGGCCAGCTGAAGTCAGCTGTCCCAGCTGTGTCCCCTCCCAGCTTCTTGTACTCCCCCAGCCTCCTTGCTGGTGGGGTGGTGTGAGAAGCAGAAAAGACCTTGACTCTGTGTAAGCCCTGCTCAACAGGAACAAAAACATCTCTGCATTTTCAACACTGTTTTCAGCACAAATCCAAAACACAGTCCCATACCAGCTACTAGGAAGAAAATCAACTCTATCCCAGCCAAAACCAGCACAACTGCCCACCACTTGCTGCTCGTTAAGTAACCTTTACCTTCACTACTGACTTGAATAGTGTTATGCATGCTCATGCACAGGTGACATTTTGCAAGATATTGAGCACATCTGTTTGAAACCTAATGAGGGTTTTATCTGACAAAAATCCAAATAGAAAAATTAAAACCATACATCATTAACATATTCTGCAATTCTGGTTTATGGCAATAAAGGATGCAGTCAACATATTAAGAAGTCTAATCTTAATTGGTAAAAAAATTCTAAAACTTGAAAATTCCATTTAAAGTTTTTGAGTGTGACCTTCCATCATGGCTGGATGATCCCACTCAAAGAATTGCTTTCAATGGCTCAATGTCCAAGTGGAGACCAGTGACGAGTAGCATCCCTCAGGACTCAGTATTGGGACCGGCAGTGATCAACATCTTTGTCAGCGACATGGACAGTGGGATTGAGTGATCCCTCAGCAAGTTTGCCGACGACACCAAGCTGTGTGATGCGGTTGACACGCTGGAGGGACGGGATGCCATCCAGAGGGACCTTGACAGGCTTGAGAGGTGGGCCTGTGCTAACCTCATGAAGTTCAACAAGGCCAAATGCAAGGTCCTGCACCTGGGTCTGGGCAACCCCAAGAACAAATACAGCCTGGGTGGAGAATGGATCATGAGTAGACCTGCGGAGAAGGACTTGGGGCTACTGGTGGACAAGAAGCTCAACATGAGCCGACAATGTGCACTTGCAGCCCAGAAGGCCAACCGTATCCTGGGCTGCATCAAGAGAAGCGTGGCCAGCAGGCTGAGGGAGATGGTTCTACCCCTCTGCTCTGCTCTGGTGAGAACCCCATCTGGAGTACTGCATCCATTTCTGGAGCCCCCAGCAGAAGGACTTGGACCTACTAGAGTAAGTCCAGAGGAGGACCATGAGGATGATCCAAGGGCTGGAGCACCTCTCCTATGAGGACAGGCTGAAAGCGCTGGGGCTGGTCAGCCTGGAGAAGGCCGGGGGGGTC